CGCTACCACGCCCGGCTAATTTTTGATTTATTGTAGAGATGAGGTCTCGCCACGTTGCCCGGGCGGGTCTCGAACCCGGGGGCTCAGGCAATCCGCTCACCCCAGCCTCCCAAAGCGCTGGGATTACAGGCTGAGCCACCGAGCCCGGCTCACCCCTCCATTCTTTAAGCCTTCCTCTTCAAGCCCATCCCAGCTAGTTTCACCTCTCACTTCTCTGGTGATGAGGAACTGTTCCCAGTCTCATGAGCAATAACAGGAGTCTAGAATCTCAGGCTCTCCCACCACTTGATTCCTCTCTGAAACCTAAACCTGACTGTAGAAGGGATCAACATTCCCACCGCGCCCTGTCCTGCCTTCTCCACCTGGTTGGTGTAAGGATCAAAATCGCTTCAGGTTTTGACCGAGTTCCTTCTCCAGCTCTCGGTGCCCGGCATCCAGCCACACCCTGGGGCTCCTTAGCCTCGGGAGACAGGTCTAGTCCAGCAGGTGTGGCCTATCTCCGCCCGCGGGCGGGGCCGCAGCTTCCGGGCTCTGCTGGCGCCTGCACAGCGCAGCGCGTGGACTTGCACTTAGGCGACCCCACTCGGTCATGACCCCACCTGGTCATGGAAGTGAAAGAGGGGAGCCCTTCGCCCTCCAGAGCAACCCCAAACAGCCTAGTGGGGGACTGCCGCCTCCGCGCTCAGCCTCTGTGTCCATCCGGGAGCCGCAGGTCCCACCTGTCCGCCCCGCGGGTGGCAAACGCCCTGTGACAAACGCTCTGGCGCCGGGCGGAGGAGAGTTAAGTCCAACCGCCTCTCATTCCGTGGGCCGGGTCGCCGAGAGCACCTCCCATTGGCCGCGGAGCCGGCTCGGCGCTGATTGGCTGAGGCCCACGGCTGCGGCTCTCGGAGTCTCCCCATTGGCGCGGCGCTCCGGGGACCGGAGTGTGGTGGCCGGGCCTCCACAGGCTGCCGGGGCTGAAGCGGCTGCCTGCTGCGGGAGCTGCCTGGGGACGCTCATCCCTGGCCGGAGTCCTGACTTCCTTCCTGGACCCAGATCTCGCTGCTGTCCCGGGGCCGCCACCGGATTTTCTCCCGGATCCTGTTCCTCCTTAGCCTCCTTTCTCCTGCCTCCTCGGCTTCCATCTCCCGACTCCGCGTTTCCCTCCTCTTCTCCCCGGCCCCGGTTGCCCGCCACCCCGAGCCATCACACCTGCCGTTTCCCTGTCTTTTACCCCTCCTTGACCTCAAATCCCTTGACCAGCAGAGCCCTACCCTAATTTTCTCACCAGAGTCTCCTAAATTCCTCTCTCTTCTCCCTTTGGCAGCACCTGACTCCCAGATTTCGGCCAACCCTTGACCTCTTGACATTTGACCCTGACACCCTTGATTCCAAACCTCTAAATCCTTACCTTCTGCATCCTGTACGCTGAATCCAAGGCCTTCCCCTGTTTTCCAACCCCCCCCCATTTCTGAGACTCATTTTTACTTTCTTACTCCGGCCAGTTCCTGCTACTGCTATCGCAACATGGACTTCTTGATGAGTGGCCTGGCAGCCTGCGGAGCCTGTGTGTTCACCAATCCCCTGGAGGTGGTGAAGACCAGGATGCAGCTGCAAGGAGAACTGCGGGCCCCTGGCACATACCAGAGGCACTACCGAAACGTTTTCCATGCCTTCTTCACCATCGGCAAGGTGGATGGTCTGGCTGCCCTGCAGAAAGGCCTGGCTCCTGCCCTCTTGTACCAGTTCCTGATGAATGGCATCCGGCTGGGCACCTATGGACTGGCTGAAGCTGGGGGCTATCTGCACACAGCCGAAGGCACCCTCAGTCCTCCCCGCAGTGCAGCTGCTGGGGCCCTGGCTGGGATCATGGGAGCCTATGTGGGGAGTCCCATCTACATGGTAAGAAGGGGGGTCTTTCCTGGGGTCTTCAGGGCAGACCCTTGATGCAGGGTAGGAGTCTGGTCCTTCACAAACACATAGAGGGCAGGGTGCTGTCCTCCTGCAAGCAGGGAAAGGCATCAGGAAAGTGCTGGCAGACTTTAAGGTCTTCTAATTTGCCCTATACACATCCATCCAATGGATGCAGTTGAGGTTATGGGCTTTGGCATCAGCCTTCCTGGAACTCAAATCCTGGCTTTGAAAATTACTAGTTGCCAGGCTCGATAGCTCAGCCTGTAATCTCAGCACTTTGGGAGGCCGAGGCAAGTGGATTGCCTGAGCCCATGGGTTCAAGACCAGCCTAGGCAACTTGGCGAGACCTCATCTCT